ATGTATCATCTCCAACCTGCCAGTCATTTCTTCTCGATATTGGCCTAGAATCCATCTCTGCGTGTGCACCCATGACCATGTACTTTTACCAACGAATAGGGATAAGAGAAAACAAGAAACCGATGTGTTACACGAGATGCAAAGGCGCCGACTATGGAAACCACTCAGAGGGGAAGAAGATCGCTCGCAAATGAAGCTCGAAGATCTGACGGTGCCCGTTACATCCTCGTATGCCATGAGATTACGTTGGGCATGTTCCTAAGGTTCTGAAGTCTTGAGGTACAAATCAACTTTTTTTTTTTGGGCTCCAACCGCCAAATGAGCTATCTAGCGAATACCAATAGCGCTGTCAGGAATCGAATCCAACTCACTAGACAGCTACTCAGTACCGCCGGATCACAGTTCTGCGAGAGATGCCTATCTTTAGCGAAGAATAATAATAATAAATTAAAAAAAAAAAAACTTGAAATATGCCTAGTGTTAGTATCTAAGATGACAGAAAATGCGGGGAAGTCACAACGACATAGGTATCGTGCCAAGTACCTATCAGCTAGCCTAGCCTCCGTGCCTATCGTACAAGCAGGTATGTGTATAGGGGCCTGAACCCATCGTGCATGTGATTCTCCACCATCCATATACGCGGTCGAATAATCATCTATCTAGAAGGAATTCAGGGTTGAGAGATATGCAAAGCCGGCCCGGAATCGAGGATAGAGATCGTATCTATCTGAGACAAGAGTGGCATTTCTCTCAGACCATCGCTAGTCACCATCGCGATCATAGAGAGATTGACATTTCGGCTCTCGAACTTGGTAAGTAATGAAAATACGATGACGTATGTATAGCACTCGGTCCGGACGTGGGTTTGATCTCAAGGTATTTATTTCCAATATGGATCGATCTCAAAGTAACATGGCAAACGCGCACAATTTTCGAACAAAGCCCCTTGCATTCAAACAGAACCCCCCACGCCACCACATGCCGGACCAGGTAAGAACCACAAAAATGTACACTAGAAATGAACAATGTTTCCCACGTGTAACGCCAGAGAGCCATGACCCAAATAGACCAACCTCGTACATTCATGCGAACGACAGCCGAGTCGTAGACAGTAGGTAGAGACAAGCAGACCCTATATCCATTTCTCTACCTGTTGTTGGCTCCCGAGGCCTTGGGGAGCCGTTGCCGGCCGTAGGTCGTCTAATCCGGTGTTATAACGGATAATAATGTCGCTCTTTTTGACAATCCCGTTGAACTTTATGATCGCCTCCTCGCTTTTCCGCAGGCTCTGGCTTTGAAGCTGCGTTTGTGACTTGAGTCGTGTCATCCGCGTTGCTGCCGTGCCCAGCACCCTGCGCTCCGTGTTACCGACAATCTCGTCGCGATCAACGTGGAATATCTTGGGGAACCATGTCCGAAGCAACGGTCTCAACGCCGGTGCCGAGGCTGTAATGACCGCGAGGTTCGTCTCAATCGCAGATGTCACGAAGCCGATGTTGGCGTCGGTGCTCAACGTTGTCTTCAGCATGAACAGACCCTGAATGAGAAGGACAAGTCGCGCAACGCTGGTGATGGTTGTTCTAAATTACAAGATGGATCAGTCCCCATGCACTTTCTTCTTGACAAGAATATCGGAGTGGAGACTCACAAGAATCCAAGCAGAAAGACAACCATCAGAGCGATTTTTGTACGCCTGGGTATCTTCAAATTGATGAATATACTCAACGGTAGCGCTAGCATGAGCATATCGGTGAGGATATTAAACGATGAAGAGACCGTGAACAGGATTCTCCTGTCGATACATGTTCCCTCCAGAGCAGGCTCCCAGGTTTTATTGATGGGGATGCATTGAAGTATGGTGGCAAAGAAGACTCCAATCATCATTCCGATATTGGCTGTGTTCATCCACACGATAAAGCGCCTCACACCAGGCCTCTGCCCAAATAAACGCTGCAGGAAGAGGAGTATCGATGTTTTTACTAGCGCCAATATCGGATTGTATAGAATTTCAATTGCATAATTCCATACCAGACCTGGTATAGGATCATGAGGTGGAACGTCTTGCCATCTGATCCCAATGAAATTCGTCTTGATAACTTTGAACAGGTCAGCATACATGACTGGCACGGTATCATCGCACCTTTGAGGACTCACACATATAACTCGCTGCCGTTTCTAGTATTGACAATACCTATATATCACACCGAGTCAGTTTATTATATCACAAGTATTCGCGAGTTGCCGGCCGCTTACCATGGCTATGCATACCAAAGTGTCATCTATTCTACACATTAGCTGCTGATTTGAAACACGCCGTAAATTGCTTACCCAACGCAAATTGATGAGATGATACCCTGCCAGCTACTCTGATACATAGTACAATGAAAGCAAAAGCCGCGAAGGCTATGGTAATGCCTATTGCTAGGCTCTGTTGAGTGCTGGAATAACGGAATGGATCAGTAGATGGCATAGCCACCCCCGTGGTGTTTTCAACGACAGCAAGCTTGTCGCTCGTTAATACAGACATATTGAGACGCGGTGCCACGGAAACAAAGCGTGCGATGATAGCTGGCTAAACGCGCGGACGGAAAGGACAAAAGGAAGCGAAAATTAACTCTCACTTTAAGCTCATAACGAGAGGACTATGCCTTCAGATATAGTAAGTAGCAACGAGTCCCAAAGGCGAAAACGACTACACGTTGCTGGCCGCTTGAAGATGATCTACGCTGAGTGTTGGACTAGGTGAGCTTGCCGAACGGCATCGCAATGGCAGCCGGATAAATCAGCCTTGTGTATCAGATGAATCGGATCGGATCGCCACATGGCCGGGCTCGAATGATGATCACAAATACTCCAATGCTAGTTGGACCGAGGGCTATCCGCTCAGATATCCATGCCGTTGGGGTTATAGTCGCTGGATACCAACAGATATTCAAATCACCTAGCACAGATTACGGGCAGTTGAAGTTGAGATAGCTGACGCACTACTTACCATAATGCACCACAGCAAGATAGTCGCTCTCTGGTGCCGAGAATGTAGACAGTCGTCCTCTGTGTTGCATTCAACTTCCAGGCTGGTGATATCCTTTCCAAGCTAGTAGTTCTCCGCGGAGACATTGGGCTTTCAACATCAGATGGTCAAAGCTGAAATCATTTCGATCCGGATCGTAGTAAGGGTACGGATGCACCCGAAGATGGTCAAATGATGGGATGAAAAAGAGCAAAAAGCCTAATAGTGAAGATCAGACGACTGAAAACCGCTAACGTCAATGTAGAGTTCATGCTTGAACAGCTAGCTTGGCGAGACAGCCTGCTTTATCAGACGGGGTTGGGCTCATGTGACTCAATTGGATATTGAGCTGTCCCGGCAGCCCCGTCATGGTGAAAAAAAATGACTCGAGGTGTGGCCGGCGACACCCATCGCCGAGAAAAGAGCCGGTTTGAATGGCCTAGACGTCGCATGTACGCGGGCGAGGGCAGGAAAAGGTCAAGAAGCTCTACCCCATCCGTGCGGAAGCATGGGGGTCGGATTGGGGCAAGGCATGAATCAAGCTGCAGTATCATGAGAACCATTCCCACTCATTGTTACCAATCAACACACCATGGAGCAACCCGTTCGTAGTGGCGAACAGATATCTGTGTCAGATTCTGTCGATGAAATCCTCTCTCCACTGCTCTGTCTACGAGGTTCTCCATGATTTGCGTGCCAATCTGGGGGATGGACTGGAGGCGCATCCGGAGCATGGTATGAGCCGACATCACCAGGTGGAAAGGCTCACCACGAGGTCTTCGACACGGACATTGGACACCTACTTGATTTCTAGGAGCAAGATGTCATAGTTCATGTCAATGCATCCATCCCCTTTGACGAGTGACGCTTGTGGGAAATGTATACTACAGCCTGACGCTGTTTAATCAACTAACTGAAGGAAACATCCAAGAAAAAAAAAACAATCGACTGATTTGCGTACGGCATCGATGACTTAGGCGTAGGTATCACGAAGAAAAAGCATTTAAAGTGAAGCCTACCTCCGTACGGACGGTAAAGCAAGAACGAATCTATCTAGTGATTAAAAAGTTGAATTTGTCTGAAGATTAAGCCGCCGTACACGTTTCGTTACACGGTTCGTCATACCAATTAGCACTGTGGACTACAACGTCACCAAGAAAGTATAATCCCCTTGCCTCTAGAGGTAGCCATTCTCCCGAGTTCTACAGAAGGGTTCACCTGAAACAGATACGGCACAGGTGAGCATGCACTCGTCATTCCCTACTGCATATCCGGACTTGAAATTTGGTTATAACGTAGAAGAGAGATCGAACGACCTCTCCTGTCTATCTCAATGGATCTTCGATATTAGCCGGCTCGGAAAATAGTGATGTGGAGGAACCTCGAAGCGACAGCATTCATGCCCGGATCGTCACGAACAGAGTGTTACCATCTAGACCTTGGTAATCGCAGGGTCACGATCGAGATTGATGGCATTCACTTTCGCGTCCGCGGAAATTCCGAGGATCTCGTCGCAATTCGTCACCAGACTGAGCCGCGATTTCAGAAGCTACTCTCATCAAACCTAGGCGCGGGTCATAGCATCCATTTTATGCTCTTAATCGCAACATCTAGGTGAAGAAAATTCAAAGGAACATACTCGAATTGAGATTTCTTGATAGCCTCGACTTCTCTCTGGCTCTTATTGTTCGCATTACTCGCATGGCTAGGCAGTATACTGTGTGTGTAGTGGAGCATACGTTATTGGCCACATTTGGTGTCGTTAGAGTATCCTCAAGCAGCCTAGGACCGCTAAGTAGGTGTATGCATACAGGCATAACTAGGTTTCCGTGGACCTTGAGATGTTGTTAGCTCGCGACGCAAAACTTGATTGTCACGAGAATGGGCACGGGCGGGATCTGGCAACCTACCTATCTACCCAGACCACGACGCCCCGTTCTTCGGACGACGCAGTCATAACGCCTACCTAGTGACCAAACGGGCATCCGCTGGTGAGATGGCCGAGTGGTTATGGCGCTGCGTTCAGGTAATCTGAATTCTAGATATTGATATTAGTATCATGTTCAAACTCGCAGTGGAGCAATCCGCGTGGGTTCGAGTCCCACTCTCATCATCAAGTTTTTGCTCTCAAGGAAAACTTCTTGCGGACTTTTTTCTTATTGATACCTGAAATAACTAACCTACGAGTGGCCACCCAGATTTATGTAGTTAGGGAGGTTGCTGCTCGAGGGACCTATCTAGGACAACTGGCATCGGCTGCATCCACCTACATAGATAAAGCAGGTGGACTTCTCCCAACCTCATTATCGGTACCTAGTCTGAGTGATTTCAGCATGTAGCACGTCTCACCTGCGCTATAATTTCTACCGTTAAGCTTTACGGATATCGATTACTGGGCTGGATTTAGTTGATTTGTTGGCGATTGGACTTTCTCAGAGTTCGATAAGATCTCAAGAATAAATAGCATCTGTCAGCTGCTAGCAGCTGCGTATGCAGTTGAGCTGGCCATCTATACCTGACCCTTGCCACCAACAATCTAGCGCCCCCTGCCCGCCACAGAGTCATTCGACTAAGCTGTGTAAAGAAAGTTCGTTCAGGGCATTCATTATCATATCAATGTTTAGACCGCGATAGCAACCACAACTCCCCTCAGGGACGAGCCTCGCCTCTCTCACGCCGCAATGGCGACACCCGATACATCGACGCTGACGAGCTCGGCACAAATCTTCACGACATACACGCTGCCGCAAATCCGCGCCGTCCACAAGACCCTGCACACCCAGATCGACGAGAAATCCGCCCGTCTGCGCACACAAGTCGGCAATAGCTACCGCCAACTTCTCGGCACCGCCGACACCATCGTGCAGATGCGGGGAGACATGCTGTCGGCGCAGGAGGTGCTGGGCCACATGGGCAGCCAATGTGGGCGCACCGTTGTGGATAATAAGATCACGGGCTTGGGGCGATTTCGCGGCAACGAGGATGCCGAGGCCGCATTGGGTCAGGCCGCGCGCGTCAAACTGCTCAAGGCCTGTGGGCTTGCTGTTAGCCGGCTGCTGAGGACGGGCACAAGCAAAGATGCCGAGGGAAGTAGGGGGGACCGGCTCGTGCTGGCTGCGAAAGTCTTCGTGCTCAGTCGATTGCTCGTGTCTAGCTTTGGGAATCTGAAGGCATCCGATGAGGAAATCAGCAGCGCGGTCGAATCTGCGAAGAGGAGCTTGGACGGATTAAGGAGAAAACTGGTGCGTGCAGTTGAGAAGGTGCTGCAAAAAGTTGAAGGGGGGACGGATATAACCGATATACTTAAAGCCTTGTCAGCGTATAGTCTGTCATCAAGTTCAGGGACGAGGGACGTCCTGCGGCGGTTTTTGAGTATCAGGGCCGAGGCGATTACGTATGAATTCGAATATGAGGAGCATGAGAAGGACAGGGGCACAGATAACGTCCTCAGAGGCCTCGAGCTATACACCAAGACATTAGTCGATGTACAGGCACTGGTACCAAACAAGCTACCCGAGGCCTTGCTGGAGCTCAAGAAGAAACCGCTCCTTGCTGATGAAGCACTACGATCTCTGGAAGGCCTCAGGCTGGATATTTTCGAGATGTGGTGCGGTGACGACATCCGGTACTTCACGCCTTTCATACGACACGACGACCTAGACGGGAAACAAGCCAAGGAAATGCTCACGGGATGGGCAAGGAAGGGCGGGGAAACTGTTCTAAACGGCCTAAGCAAGACGCTCGAGCACATCTCAGAATTCAAAGCCATCGTAGAACTACGGACAAGCACGCTACAGCAATGGATTAGGAATGGCGGAAAGGCTAGAGGGTTTGATCCATCTATAATGCTCGATGGCTTGCGAAAAGCTATTAACGATCATCTCTTGCAACTCATAGAAACGAAAGTTGCAAAGCTCAAGCTCGTTGGGTCTGAAGTCGCCTCCACGTTAGAGGCGTGGCAATCGGGAATTACTGACCGCCAGCGTGGTCTGTGGGATGATGAGATGCTCGGGATGGACTTTTCTATCGGCGCTGCTCAGGTCACACATGAAGTCGTATCTCGCGTCTACGGAAGGAATGATGCCGTTGCACGAGCCGTCACCGGTTTTGAATCGTGGCATCACATAATTGACAACGTTGGGGATCTGGTAGAGCAACTTAAACGACAGAGGTGGGATAATGATGTAGACGAAATCGAGGATGAGGAAGTCATTGAGATGAGGCAGGATCTCTTAAGCAAAGACGACCCACAATTACTACACACGCGTCTGGATGAGACGCTAATAAAAGCGTTCGAAGACTTGAATGAGCAGCTCACAACGCTGTGGCGAGGCCGAAAGGACGGATTAGACAACGGACAGATTGCCACATATATTCTCCGGATCTTAAGGGATATCCGCAGCCGTCTACCCAAGCTGGAGGGTGTGCAGTCTTTCGGCTTGGATAACGTCCCTTCATTGCACGAAAAGCTTGCGGCCCACGTGTCTGTAGCACCGTTAGAAGAGTTTATCGCGACAACGCTAACACAGAAACGGGTGGCTGGTCGAGTGTTATGGGAGGGAGAGCCAGCCTTGCCTACGCAGCCTTCCCCTAGCACTTTCAAGCTTCTACGGAATGTCACTGTTTCAATGGGCGATTCCGGGGTTGATCTTTGGACCCCATCTGCTGTCAAGACCCTAAAGCGCGTCTTTCGTCAACAGCTCGCAGATGTTTGGCACAAGGAACTCGTGGCATCTGTTCCAAACCTCGATGAGGCGGAGTCTGCATCCAAGGTAGATAAAGATGGGACGGGCGATCCATCGATAGAGGATGACGACAACACAAAGGAAACCAACGAGGAAATATCCGAGCGCGGCAAAGACGTCCTCATTCAGTGGCTGTTCGATGTTAATCTACTACAACACTATCTCAACATTGGGAATAGTGACTCTGATAAGGCGATGACAGATCTTGCTGCAGAAATTTTGGAGAAGACAGGCCTGGATAATCAAGCGGAGCGGCGTCTTGCGAAAGCGTCACAGGAATACTGGAAGAGGACAAGCCTACTATTTAGCTTGCTCGCGTCATGATACCCATAGAGATGAAGTTTTTTGGTGTGGTATTTGCATGTTTATAGCAAAAGTACAGAAAGGGTTGAACAGCTGTACAGAAATCCAGCATGGACGAAGCAGTCCTTTCGCATAATGACCACATCCGCTCGCTGCTCGCTCCGTCTCATTGCACACTCTCACATTCTGAAACCATGCTATAGCTTATGCCTCTTCTGGCCCGAGGCAATCTTCTGAAACTCCTTCTGAGGAATCCCCTTGACAAACCGATCCAGCCCCGCAAAGACCTCGGCCACATTCTGCTGATCGAGGATCTGGCGCTCCGGTTTCCTGATGAGCGCCTTGATTCCCGTCAAGGAGTCGCCGTTCAAATGCTCACCCAACCGCTCGTCGACCTCGTGCAGAACCTGGCGCATGAACGCCTCGTCGTCGCCCTTCTCGCACGCGAACACCTTGTTCACGTACCCCGTGGCCACGAGCTCGTCCACGGGGATCCGCCTGCTCATGATCAGCGCCTCGTTGGCCTTGCCGATTCCCAGCCGCTGCACGAAGGCGTGCGAGGCCCCGCCCTCGGCCAGTAGCCCTAGCGACGAGAAGGGCGTCAGGAGAAACGTGTGCGGCGCCGCGTACACGAAGTCGGCGAACCCCGTCAGCGCCGCCGATAGCCCCACTGCTGGCCCGTTCAGCGCCGCGATCAGGATCTTCGGGTGGCTGTAGAAGGCCTGCGTTATGTTCAGGTTGTTCGCTACGAAGGTCCGCAGCCATTCCCGGTATAGGTCTGTGCCCGGTGGGAGATCCCGGCCTACGGAGACGTCGGCGCCGCTGTGGTTTGATGCGTAAGTTAGCTGGGGATGTATGTCTGTTTCACCAAATCAAGCAAGACTCACGCGGAGAAATACCGGCCCTTTCCGGTCAGGATGGTGATATAGATATCGTCACGCACGGCAATATCTCGCAGGGCCTTGGCAATGGCATAGTATCCGTCCATCCCCAAAGCATTGAGTTTCTTGTCGTTGTCGATGGTGATGGTGGCTATACGCCCCGAGTACGAGATCTTAACTACATCCGCCATGGTGTGTATGTATATGTGTATACGTATGTGTCTCTGTTTCCTCCCCGTGCATTCATGTGCATTAATGTGGATAAATAATATTTGGCTACTGTTTATGTTGGATAGAATTAATTTGGTCACGCTGCGACTTGAGACGACGACTCAATGGAAGTAGAGGTGAAATAGGCAAGGTACCTAACCTACTTAAATGGCTGGAAAGTAGACACTACGCATACTGATACATAAAGGAGCGGGTCGTTCGGTCCCGCAGAAATAGCCAGGTACGGTAACCAAGCCGAGGCTCTTCTTCTCCCTACCCCAGTAACGGCGCAACCAAGACACCTACTAGTAGCTCGGGGGTGCTTCTCTAATCACCCCACGTTTTTTTTGCCCCGCAACCCTCTTTTGTATAATCTGCCTCGGAAGACACGTTGACTAGATCGGCCGCTTCGGCGGAGGCAACAGACGGTCCCGTCAGTTCGGTAGCTTTCATGCACGATGGCGGGAATTAGAATTAGATGTGCAGCAACTATAATTTCTAGACCTGGATGGCTATTTGTGGGGGATCATGTATAGAAGAAACCTTGTTTTTGTTTTAACGCGGACGGATGTAGGTATCTGGGGGGTCTTAGATAGGTGAATGTACATATTATTATCGTGACAAGTGTAGGTATATCATACTCAAGCACAACTTAGCCGTACCTGCTACCGGTACCTCGAATACTAGATATATGTAGGTGATACCTACCTAGGAGGTGTAAAATAGCTGAAATCATGACAGGTGTACGCCTATCACCTATCGCACCTGACATACCAGTATATGTACCCCTGTGTTTGGAGATCTGCGGACCCCTGCACATCGGTCACGTTGGTGGTCTGAGCTCATCATTCAGAGTGTCAATTATCCACTGTGAAAGCAGGCTCCTGATCCATCCTCACTACTTCACCATTTTTTCTAAACCTCGAATACACAGACTATTGAGCCTGCCCTATCTAGTTGTTTTTTTGTCGGCT